TCGTCAGTGACAACAAATCGATAACTTTACCTAAAAGGTGCGGAATCCCATTTCAAAATAATATACTATATACAGGGTTAATTACAACTCAGTCCAAGTAATGCACCTTGGTCAGTGGAATATGCTATGCGATCTGTTCACAAATTGGAGATCACGATAAATAGATAATGATAAATTAGAGAAAATAAAAATAGATAAATCTCAATGCAAAAGCAATTATTCTTATATTACGCCTACTGTCTGTATAAGCGCAAATAGTTGGCGGCAAATGCGCAAAGCTTTAACGGCCTATAAGATTATGAGATATAAATATATTTTGTTGATATTTTTAGATTGTCTATATTTGTTTTCTAATATTAGGAGAAGGATACAACATCACATATACAGACTGCGATCCAACTGCCCATGGTGAAGTGGTTGATATTAGAAGCGCATGTGCCTCCATGCAAACATTGACGTTAGAAGGCTGTGAGATATACACTAACTGCGAACCGTGTTACATGTGTACTGCTGTCATCTTGTTAACGGGGTAAGCACACAATATAAAACAAGGACCATTTACCAGCTGTATATGAGGTCAATGCGAGGCTACTTACAAGACTGTGTCTGATTGGCTAACAAACTCTAATACTTAAAATTCAGACCAATCAGCGTCTTGGTTGACTGGTTTCTTCGACGGATCAAATGCTGCCTTTTATATATTTGAAACAGTGTCATTATTGGTATTTTCTATTACGTTTCTAACGTTTCTATCAACAGAAAATTATTATACAAGAAAGGTTACAAAACTTTTTTCAGTTGTTTACGTCTTTATTTATGGAAGTGTCATGTATGACAACAAAAATACTTGTTTGGTAACTCTGTTATTTGTCATAACAATCAGTCGATTCCACGATCTACTCATATTGGACGTACATTCCAGTGTACTATTACCCACCCAATATTATGAGGTTATTACGAGAATACCTTAAAGTATGCACGAAGACAATACAGCGAAAGTGTCGACCGACGCGCAGCGACGTTGGTCTGTCTGAGTACTTACTTTGAGGTATCCCCGTAATAACCTTATTTTTATACATCTTTTCTTTCCAAGAATACATCATGGGAATGCCGAAATCCAAAACGTTTATAACGAACTTCTTTGTGTAAAGTCCGGTCAAACCCTGGTGGCAGCCATGTTCGTTTTTATTATTAGAGGACGCTTACGCGCATTTCCTGATATGGTAGAATGAAAATACCCCGTAAAATACCGCAAAATTACGGCACGCTGTAACTTATGGCGTTACGTTGACAGATGTATAATATTGTCATTTATTGCCAATAATGTGTCACATTTGTGAACACCATACTTCAATCAATATTCAAACGTTGTTTTTGTCAGGATACAACGTGTGTACTACGCTGCTACCCATGAAGAACTACAACAACATATGCACTTATCCAGCAAAAAACGCTTTGAAATTCTAATACATCCACGACCTGAAGAATACTACAATATGAGAGAGCATGTCGAAGACAGAAAAGTTTACGAGATATTTGAAAAATGGTCATCTAAACAACTGAAAGCTTAACCTTAAAGGAAAAGTCAAGTCTAACAACATAATACTCCCAGATGAAAGTGCTTGGCAAATGTAAGGACATGCAATTTACAGTTTATTTATATCCCATTTCATTCTCCAGATATTCAACTGTATTCAACCAGTATTATGTAGTCCACCATCTTGGTTCTTCGGCAAAGGATTATGGGTAAAATATGACATCATATCCACTGTTGTCAGAAATTGAGAAAATGATTTCATCTTTAACTTCAAAAGTGGAACTTCAAATTGGCTGAAAGTTTAGAACTTGATAGGCATACATGTGGCGGTGTCAAACATGCATTTAAAATAGTTGTCATGGCAAGAGTACTAAAAATATTCATTTTTTGTATTTTTCTAACAAATGCTCCAATTTCCTAATATTGTATATAACCTGTGTTGACCACAAAAAGGGGAGTGAAAAAGTGTCATTCTATATTAAGGACTAAAATAATGATTTTTATTTGTTATTACATTTTTGGCGATATCTGTAACATTCTTATTTCCATTACTATAATGATATACATAAGTTATGTGTACACCAATAATTTGAACAAATTCGCATCAGTATTTCTCACATTATAGATTAAAGCATTTTCTCACTTTTTTCACAACGGAGGATATGATGTCACACTTTACCCACAATCCTTTGCTGGAGAATCAAGATGGCGGCTACATAATATTGGTGAAAAGTCGAATATTTAGAGAAAGAAAAGTGATATACAAAAACTGTAAAATGCATTCTCCTACATTTGTGAAGCCTTTTCCCTGCGGAGCATTATGTTGTTTGGGTTGACTTCCCCTTTAACCTCGCAACTCTCGTTTCAGATGTTAAAAGACGGTGGTCGTCGAGCCACGCATGTGTGACATTTATGTTGATAAACATTGATTTTTCCACAATCCAATGCGTTCTGCTAATGAAAAATTACGAGTACGAGTTTTTCGATATCTTCAAATCATTAAAGAAATTACATATTTAAAGCTTGGTAACGTCTCAGTTTGTACTTGTTAGTCTGTGCAACAGTCAAAGTCGCCATCTTGGTTAACATGAAACCAATATCTCGCGCATGCGTGGCGCGACGACCACAGCCCTTTAACAATGAGGGTAGAAAAATGTTATGCTTTTTTGATTCCGCTGGAAAACATCATCCAATAAACAAGAGCTTATGATGTCTACATTAATGAGCAACATAAGTGTGTCAATACGAGCAGCAATGTACCTTCCGAGAATTTCAGTGATGCTCACAAGTCGTTAGCTTCATCGCCCCTCGTCTCTGGTGAAAGTCATTAGTCAATGTCAACATTTCTATTAATTTCAACGTCTACGTCCTTATGTCATTTATTATGTCAGTGATTCCGATTGAACTCCCCGACTAATTGTGTTTGAGTTTGAAGTTAAAGGGCGGTGGTCGTCGCGCAGCGCGTCTTCGAATTTCATGTGAATAAACATGGGTCAACACTAAAAAAGCGAAATATTGAATATGGTTGTATTTAATACATTCTGTTGCGCATTCAAGTGGGGTCAGCCCCTTGTCATTTGACCATTCAAATGTAACGTTCGATCTTGCCTCTTCTAGAATTTCGAAATCGTGGATATTCGAAATCATGTTTAAAAAAACGACGAATGATAGTTTGCTGAGTACTGCCATTTCATTAGTGAAGAGAATGAACTGAATAGTCTTGATTTTCAGTCGGTTTTCCAGTCGTTGTAAAATAAACCTTCAAAAATGATACAAAAACGATCAGAGTAACTGAATGGTGTCAGGTCAGGAATCTTTAGCGCGTATGT